GGGGGGGGGTAGGGGTATACTACCCCCCTCCCCCCCCTATTACTCCTTCCTTTATTTATTATTTATTCCTAAACCTCCTTTATATACCTGCTATTTATAGCGGCCCTTATATAGTTATATACCTCCCTTACTTATGCTACGTAGGCTCTCCGGGGTAAGCGCTATAGTATAGGCTAGGCGTGGCTACTATTCTCTAGAAGGTATAATAACTCGTAGGGCTAATCTACCGCTCCCTTTTTTCTATAAACCTCCCTCTCTTCTTCTGTCTTTTCCTCCTTTCCTCTTTTCCCCCTTTAAGCTATTATTTTTTAAGGTAAGCTTTTACGTGGTCGGTACGGTATAAGTACAGCCCTAGAACTCCTATTCGGGATCCCCTAGTACTATTCGGCTATATAGTAAGGGATCTAACGGGATCCCGGGTTATACCGTCCCCGCGCCGCCCCCGCTCCGCCCCCGTAGCGCCCGCCTTAGTCTAACTCCCCTACCCCTTTAGATACCTAGTAATAAGACCTTTATCGCTAAAGGGGGAGCCGGTACCGGCGCCTATAGGGGTAAAGGGCCGGCTACCCCCTAGCCTTCTATTATGAGTTCCCCGCTCCGTTATCGTCGCGCCCGCTTTACGCCCCCGCTTTATATTCTAACCCGGTATAGGCCGCCCTTATCCCTACTATCTATTCATCTCCTTATACTTTATACGTTATATCTTTAGTATAAGATTACGAGGCTACTCCTTATTAAAACCCCTTTAGTATATAGTCCCGTCGTGTTCCCGCTATTCCCCCGCTCCGTATCGTATCTATTAACCCGACTTAGGAGCCGGCGCCTATTACGTTAAATACGTTAACGGTAACCGTAATAATAGCCACTACGCTCTAGTTTATCCCCGTTACGCCCCTATTACGCCCTTACTCTATTAATCCTCCTATTAGGCCCCTCCACCCCCCTATAACAACTCCGCTACTACCCTTATCGCCGCCGCCGCTACTACCCGTACCGCTTTAATACTATTTATAGGTTTTTCCCCTTTCTCTGTTATACTATATACGCTATATTATTATTATTAATCCTATCGTAGAATATCTGTAAGCACCGCTAGGCCGTTACCCGCTAGACTT